TCTGTATTTTATTTATTAATGCATTTTTAATAATATATGGTTAATAAGGATCTATTTTAAGCTTACAAACAAATAAATTTTAGTTTTTAATATAGTACAGAAAAAAGTAATCTAAATTTACGAATACATGTACTGTAAATACAGTACATACTTGTAAATGTATATATTTTAATATGATTTTATGTGCTTTAAACGCCTTTCTAGTGATATTATGACTTCAATATTTGTGGCGGACAGACATAAAGTCGAATAAAATGACTTAAACTTGATTTTTATTTTTCTATATACTTTTTTGACAAACGACGTATAATCAGGAACGACGTAAGTCGAGGTATACCTGTACAAAATTTTCAAGATATATGTTAAACAACTTAAGTTGAATTTTCTATTTCAAGATTTCAGAGTTTACAAATGAAGAAAGATTTGTTGTATTATTGACAATTTTTGTGTTTTATATATGATATCATGCACATACATGATTAATATGGATTGACTACACTCAATTTTTGTCCATTATAGTTGGGCCAGATTTACAATAGAATCATATAACATAAGTGAGGAATGGAGAATAATTCCCCAATATGGAATGTTTAAAACGTTTCATGATAAATTATAAAAGTTTGAACAGGATTCAAATAGCAATAAGATGATTATTTATTACAAAAGCTATCTGGTTGAGAATATTCATTTTACAGTTTGTGTCTTTAAGTTCAATCTATATTTTAGTCATATTAGTTAATTACCTATTCTATAAATAAGTGGATTAATTAAGAGAAAAAAATGTTCAAGTGTTTACAAAAGATTTGTAATTATTTTAATCTCTTACAGTATATATGTATACATTTTAAACATATAGGTACATACACACAGTTGTATATACATATTTTTATCACACATACTGTCTGTGACATATAAGTAGATCTATTGTGATTTTAAACTTTTATTAGAGAGATCTATATGCACAACATTATCTTAAGGTATATTTTCCATTTATATGTTTTCAGAGAAATGCTTATTTAAATTGATGTCAAAATTTCAGCTAGGCTTAAAAATCAATGAACAAGAATACTTTTTCTGAAAATCCAGATTAACTCTTAACATTTTTAACATAAAGAAAATAAGGATTGTTATCACCTAATATCAGAGAAAAAGACTTATGCGGATAACAGTTTAATAATTTAGTAGAGATCATATTCAACAGATGTACTAATCTGTACATTTTTAAAATGATATTCTTAATGTCAAGCAACATATTATTTAGGATATGCTGGAATCTTATGTTTATCTTTCTAATGATGGTGATGCTTCTAAGTTTTATTTTTATATGCCATTATTAATGCAGATATATATAGAACATACAATGATTATATGAGTATCTTAAGAATAAAATTTTCAGCTAATAGAATAATTAGCTGGCTTCCCTATTTTAAATTCAAGAGAGATTTATATGATATTGTAATATATACAGCAATAATCATCATCATCTAGAAGTTAAATTATGCATTTCACAAAAAGTAGACAGTACTAGAAACTGTTATTAATTTAATCAACTAACCTATTCTCACTAGGAATTATTACTGTATTGCCCATTTTATCCATAAAAAGCAATCAATGTCTTATTTTTTATACTACAGAGATATAAATGATATTTATCTAAGTTCCATCAAAATTGTTTGGGCATTTTTAATTAAAGCAAACAATACTGTTTATTTCTATATCTTTTACTGTATTGTATCGTACTATAAATAATTGTCACATGAAATTTCATTAAATTCATGGATACATTTTTAAAAAAGTATTTTAAGTTTCTCTCTTTACTTTTTGTAAGCAATACAGTATTAGAGAATTTACAAAGATAACTTAATATCATTAATCAAAATGATAATATATATTAAAACTATACAATACCTTTGAGATGTAGATGCTGGACTGTTGGGAATAGATTCACTAATTGATAATAGAGGTTTACGTTTAGTTTCTAATAATGTTTGCTCTGTAGAAGCATCTGATTGTTGATTAGTAGAGTCTGATTTACAACTAGAATGTTGTGTTTCATTAGCTTTTTCCTGATGATCATTTACAACTTGCTTAGCTGTTAATTCTGAATGAGGCAAACTTGAATTGGTTTTTTCTTTATCACTTTTTTTATCTCCAAAAGAATCTTCTAAATCTTCATGAACATGAATGTGTCTATTTGTTCTCCCCCCTCTTCCTTTCCGGCCTAAAAACACCTTATTATTATATAAAATACAAAAATTTAATTTTAATATCAAGAAAATAAAGCATACCTCTCTTGCCGGAATGTTTGCGGATAATTTTTAATTCTTCTATTACTTTATCTGATTCTACTATTACTACTGCTTCTTTTGCTGGTTCTTCAATAGGTTTATTCTTTTTTTCATCTTCAGTTAGTGTTTTTTCAGTTTCTACACTTTGTTGTTTAGTATTAACATCTTTGTTTTCATCTTTTTTGGATTCAGCTGTTTCTTCTTCTACAGGCAACTGTTTCTTATCTTGGATTACAGCTTCATCTGCCACCTACAAAATAAAGTTATAGAAATTCTGGCTTTCTCAAAATGTTAAAATAAAATTTACATTTTATTAACTAATTCAGTCTTTTTACAATTACATGTAAATTTAATAAAGTTTTTAAAATTTTTTTAGTATTTGATTCACATTACATTTTTTAATAAATTCTACAGCAATATGGCACATTCTATTTCTATGGTACTCTTGTATTTCTACATGAAGAATTCTTTAAATCAATATTGTAAAATACAGGCCTAAAGACCAATTTTCATCCATCAGAATTTCCTCAACAGACCAAATAAATGAAATTACAGGAAGAGAAATCAGAATTGTATGGCACTTGGTTATCATAGGATATCAATAGGCATGGCAATATGTATAATTATCTATTTGGCAATATAGTTTTATCATGAATAATCATCCTGTTCTTTATTTTTCCAGAACATTTTATCATCAAAATTGATTTTAATTATTAAACATATAGTTTTTAGATATTAATGCACATTATATTAATCTTTCTCTGTCTGCATCTTGAATTATTTTAGCAGCAGTGAACTGACTACTGTTTACTTTTAATTAACAAATAAATACACAATTAGTGTAAAAAATAATTTCCTTCTTTAATATCTAAATATTGAAAAATCATTTCAATTTTACATAAATTAAATGTAAATATTTTCAGAATTAACCTGGTTTTGGCTTTCTAAATATGAATACATTTATCTCTAACTAATCAAACACTTAATTCTAATTTTTACTTTTGTATGAAATTAGCCATACAAGTTCAACCATTCACCAGAATTTCAACTTTCTTTAAGATTCAAATAAACTTTACAGAATGAAGTAGAATGTTAGCTATTTTAAATTGCAGATTAAAATGTATAGTAAAACCTTGAACTAACATTCCTGAAATTAACAATCATTCTCTTTAATCCTAAAGAATAGCTTATGTAATTACAGACTTACTTTCCTTGAATCAATGTTTCATTCAATTTACCAATCACATTATTTGGTTCTGAAGCTATTTTTTTCCCTTGATCTAACATTTAACAGCTGATCCAATATAAAAATTTTACCTGCTAACAATATTAGGATTAAAATAGCTCTGCAGTCTATACTTAAAATATATTCCTACCTCTCTTTTCTATGATCTACATATAACATCAAAGGGGGAATTCCCTTTCTCACAAAACTAAATGAGTGAGAAGAATTTGTTGATATTTTCTGTAAATTATTTAATTGTTCAGTAAAGTTTTGGCTTTCATCCTGTAAAGATGTGCTTGTTTTCTTGCTTGCCTTGATTGGCTGCTTTCATATGCTTCTTCTATACTTTTAGAAGAATTTAAATTTTGTAAGTTTGTTTTCATTCAGAAATTTGCTCTTTGTAATTAAAATTTAATTTTCTTGGTAAATATGTCCTTTTTCTTGTTTATTAGTAATAAATCTTTTACAACAAGAAGTAACAATCAAATATTTTAAATATCCCAAGTCCTTTTAACAAAATATTTTTTCAAAGTTTAAAATGCTACATAAAACATTTCTACACCTTTTCAATATGATGTATTTAAAAAAATAGATAAATATGTAAAATAAAGAGGTTTCTTGATTTAACATTTACTGCATTTTAGGCAGTCTCCAAATACTCTTCAGATTGAGATTTTACTCTATTATCAATATATTTATGTTATGGCACAATCAGACTGCTACACTAAAAAAAATATTGAAAATTTTTATACCAATTTATCAGTTATACAATTATCCCATTTATCAGTGAATAATCTAAAGACCTATGATTAGAATGATATTAAAATGTACAGTACATACTATAGAAATAAAAGCACCTATATTCCTCACTTTTCTATTAAATAAAATTGTTTAATCGAAGAAATCTATTAAAAACAATTAGTTGTTTTTATTTTATAGAAATAAAATGTTTATCTGAAAAACAAAATAAAATCTAATAGCAGATTTAAATTATTTTTTTGTTTTTTGATGTTTTTCTAATTTTTTAATTAGAAAAACATCAAAAAACAAAAAAAAATTTAATTTAAATCTATTTATAAACTACATCTATAAGCTGATTAGTAATCAGTTTTAATAAAACTATAACTTAAAAGGATTAAATAAAACAAAATAAGTAAATTCCTTCACAATTACCTTTTCGATTACTTTTTCAGTTGTAACTTTTGATACAACTTCTGGATCTGAATGATTTGATGATGATATATCTGTTTCTTTTTCTGTTGTAACTGTTGTGTTTTGTTCTTCATTTACAATATTTTCTTCCACCTTTTCATATGTAAAAGTATTGTTGCTTGGCTGTTCTTTCTGCTTGTCTTCATTTATATTTTCATCAAATACTTTTTCCAATAATGATTCTTCTTTCTCTGTAATTTATAATTTATAAATAATTATAAAAATATTAATTTTCAAAATAACAAATAAAAAAATTACCTAAATTTTCATTTCCAACTTCTTCATTTTTCACAACTATTTCATTTTCTTCAATACTTTCAGAATGGATAACTTCCTTTTTAATTTCTTGTAACTCTTCTACTTTATCAACAACTTCAGTGTTTTCTATTTCATTTTCTTCAATTTCTTCTTTATTTCTAGGAGGTGATGCTGGCTCAATTTTTATATCAACTTTATGCTTGCAAATGTCATCCTTTGTTTCTGTTATCTTTTCATCTTCTGTAGATGATATTAAACTGTCAGATTCAGTCTTTTCTCTGGATGATTCAACTACTTCTTCTGATGTTACTGAAACAACATTAGTTATAGCAGATGATGAAGTTGTAGTTACAGTTGTAATTGTCACAGTAGAAACAGTAGGAATTTCTCCAGTTGATGAAACCTCTTGTTCCGTTTGAATAATAGGTAAGGGAGGAAGCTTCCCAGGAACACCTGGAGGCAATTCTAATAATTTTGATAGTGTAGGTGCTAGAATAAAGAAAAAATATTTAAATAAATATAAGAAATAAGTTAGCAAATTTTACATAATAAATAAAAAGATTAAAAAATGTAATTCTATATTTTTATTTTAAGTATAATTTACATATTGTTATATGTTAGGTTCTATTACTTAAAACACAAGTTATTAATTAATTTAATTCTATTTGGTTTGTATAAATCTATTAAAATTTGTTTGTATCATTTAACTTTATTCTTTATTCATTTTACTTTTCCTTCATTACAAGAAAAGCATTTCTTGTTCTTTTCAATCTTATTACAATTCATGATTCAAATTTCATGTACATATATTTATGTATCAACATTTTATTTTGATTATAGTATAATCTTACATTAAATGCTGTTCTTTATTTAAAAATTAAATAAATACTATGTATTTATTTAATTTTTTATTTGTACAATTGCATATTATTGATGATTATTATTCATTTTAATTTTATGTTTATGACTAACTAAGAAAGAAAACCAAATGGTTACATGATTTTTAATATTTCATGTTTAAAATAAACGTTTATGTGAAATTAAACTTATACATAATAGTCAAAACTTCTTGATCTATGCATTTTCAAGAAAAAGAACTAATTTTAAGTTATTGAATTTATATGTTCTGGTGAAAGAATATTCATAAGAGTGAGTGGCATAGTGGTTACATTCCAACCTACAAGTCTATATGGCAAAGCTGTTCTGGATTCAAATCTCAAATTTCTTTTTAAGAATTTTTCAAAATTTCATTTTCTTTTTTTTTTTGTAACTTTTATTTTTGAGGGAAAGGTGGTCTGCACTTTTTCCTCCTGAATTATTTATTTTTGCTTTTTTTTTTTAGGAAATAAATTAGTAGATATGTATTTCTGTATCCACAGTTGGATTTATTAAAAGTTGTAAACGATGATTTTCAAAGAAACTTGAATTTGTTTGTTCATATAGAACCAAGCTAACATATTGAAATGAAGTATTTGTGATTAATTCATAATCAAAATGGACTTTTATCTGATTTCCATTTACAAGTCAGGGTAAATTTTAATACAGCTGCAATATCTCCAACTCCCAACTAAACAGAGTGTTTTCGACCACCTTTTATTTGTGGTTCCTATTAATTTCTGCTATTGGAAACAGTTTCCAATAGCAGAAATTAATAGGAAATTAATAGGAATAAAAAAATATAATAAAAGTACACAACTAAATTATTAAAAGTATGAAAATAAATAATTTAATGATGGAAAAATGCAACCCACTTTTCTCTGAAAACTAAAATTTCTTAAGAAAGTCAAGTTTTTTAAGAACACCTATGGTATGTCTTGTAGGTCAGAATATAATCACACCATCTACTCTTATGAATAGTTGTACTAGAGCAGAAATAATGGGCAACCTTTTTCTAAGGGGCGTATTTCAAAACTTTTGAACTGATTTGGGCCGCATACAAGATAAAAGAGGAAAAAAATGCCAATAAATCACAATTATTTATTCATATATAATTATAAATTAGAATAGGTATACTTAATTTAGCTTCTGAAACTGATGTAAACATAATATATTGGAAATATTTGGTTAAATATTAGTCACTGCTAGTTTTATATTAGTTTCAATGTGAGTCTGTTAGCCAGTTTCTTGTTTTAATTTTACTAAATTCATTGCAGGAAAAACTATTCACATACTTAAGTTGCAGAAAATAATATTTAATTTTTGCTAAATATGTCCTTAAGCTGGGAAATTGATATATTTATACATATTTTATGCGATGCAGGCTGCAGGTTGCCCATCTCTGCACTAGAGCATATAAATAAACTATTGGTTCCCTTTCTCTTGAAAATGCTTACAATCAAGGAGCTTTGACTAATGTATAGGTTTAATTTCACATAAACTTTTATTTTACACACAAAATATTAAAAGTCAAGTATTCATTTGATTGCCTTTTCTTGTAAGTTAAAAAAAAATCAAATTAAATAAAATGACAATTTTTTTTTAACTTTTAATTCTGAATAAACAGATTCATTTTATCTTTATGATGTTCTATTAATTAATTCATTTCTGTTCTATTAATTAATTCATAAATTATTTTAAAAAATAAACCAGGACATTGCGCAACTTTGCCATATTGTGATAAAATTGAGGTGGAGCTGGAACGAAAGAAGTGATTACTGCAGCTGTTAGGCACAGAAGAGGTGATCCTTATACCTGACAGATGCAGACAGGTAAATTTTGCACTTGTATCTGCTGATCATGGGTGAGATGATCCTTACATTTGCCAAAATGGAGAGGTGATCCAAGAACAAAGCAATCACCATTGATTGCTTTGTTCTTGTTTTATCCATTTTTTTGCACCTATTTTTCATTAGATGCATACAATGTTTTTATTATTGATCCTTATGCCTAAAGTTTTATCACTTGTATCAGAGAGCAGACATTGTCACTTTAATACAAGAATTCTCAACTTTTTTTTCATGAAAAAAACAAATGGAAAAATTTTTTCCATTGACTCCCTTTAATATTATATACATTCTATATTTTTATTTTAAGTATAATTTACATATTGTTATATGTTAGGTTCTATTACTTAAAACACAAGTTATTAATTAATTTAATTCTATTTGGTTTGTATAAATCTATTAAAATTTGTTTGTATCATTTAACTTTATTCTTTATTCATTTTACTTTTCCTTCATTACAAGAAAAGCATTTCTTGTTCTTTTCAATCTTATTACAATTCATGATTCAAATTTCATGTACATATATTTATGTATCAACATTTTATTTTGATTATAGTATNACCTCTATATATCAAAAACTAAGTCTTGGACTCCTATTTTTTACATTTTATTTAAATGTAAAAAATAGGAGTCTATGACTTAGTTTTTGATACCTTATATTTTGACCCTTACATTTTTGGGTTCCTCATTGCAATTAATGGAAAATAGCAAAGTTTTATCAAAATCATCCCATTAAATTTTGAGAACAAACTGAATTCTACAAGTCTACAGATGTCATGCTAGTGACCACAGAACACTTCCTGACAAAATTGCATAATTCGTGCAATATTGCTTTGTTGAGCGCACTCATGAAATGATCTTATATCTCAAAAATGAAGTCGGGAATCCCCAACTTTTTTATTACATTTTTGGATTCCTTATCACAATTAATGGAAAATGGCAAAGTTTAATTCTGTAAGCCATGTAGAAGAGGCTTTGCTAACATTTTACCTCAAATAATATATGTGCATTGTTACTCAAACAAAAGAGATTACAGAAATTTAGTAATTTGTGAAATATCTATCAAATAATCAAATAAAATGTCTACTCTTAACAAACAGAACAAAAAGCTTGGTAGTACTGTGATTCTTTGCTCACAGTGCTGCTATTACTTAATTTGCTATGATCTGATCACACTTATAGTGCATGAAGATTAGAATGTATCTTGAATGTTTATTTACTATGGACTTGTGGAATAATATTTGAAATTCTAAACAAACAAATAAGTTTAGACAAACCTTACTTTATAAAGTTGAAATTGGATTATTTTCTTAACTGTGCAAACAAAACTGAGATAATCTCTCTCTTTGATAGTTCCTTAAAAATTTCATAGGATTCACTTCTAAGTGTGTCCAAATATCTTGAATTGGACTTTGTCATATCTGTAGACAAGCTTTTCCATCCCCTTGTCATAGAATGTTGCCACCAGTGAATTGAGATGGCCTTAACAACGTTGTTTTGAAGATCGTCATTAGTTCATTAGTCTCAAACCTCTGCCCTGCTAGCTATGTTTTCAGTTCAGGAAAAAGGTGGAAGTCTTCACACATTAAAAAGTTTTAAGCTGGGTGGAAGTCTTCACCACCTTTAAACACCCAGTGTATAGCCCCGATTTAGTGCCGAGCAACTTTCACCTCTTTCCTAAACAGGAAAAGTGGCTAGGAGGGCAGAGGTTTGAGACTAATGACAATCTTCAAAAACACGTTAGGGCCCATCACAAGTCATTGGCAGCAACGTTCTATGACAAGGAAGGGGATGGAAAAGCTCAGCCACAGATATGACAAATGCCTCAATCTTTACAGTGATTATGTTGAAAAGTAACCATGTTTGTACCTAAGTTTTGGTAATAAATTCATTTTATTTACACTTGTCTTTTTTTAGGGACCATCAGAGCTTGAAAAAAAAAAACAGCCTATGTACTTACCGCAACAATTTAAATAACAAGCTAATACTATATTTGAGACAGTGACATGTGATGGAGTTAGTTGGGCAACACTGGATCATTGTTCTAACTCATAGCATTATCATATGCATTGCTCTATTTCTCGTGAATAAACTTTTCATTTGATAATTCAGTATTTGTTTATTCAAAAATTTATTCAGATAAATATAAAAATACTACAGCATTTTTCATCTATTATACATAAAATTTACTATTATTAAAAATAGTAAATTTTATGTATTTATTTTTTACACAATTTATTTTATAAAAATTATAATACTGAACTTACCAGATGAGGTAGATGAATGAGTAACGATAGGTGGGATATTTCCTTCATTATTTATGTTCTGATTTGCAGAATGAGCTTTATCCTTTAAGAACAAAGAATCTACAGATGAAGTGTTTGATGATGGTGCAGTTGCAACTGCTAACTGACGAGCAGCAGCTGTGGCCAAAGCACTAGTTGGATTAAAAAATGGCTGTGGTGTTGATATTGGGCGAGGACTAGTTTGAGTTGTAGGTAGTGTTCCCTATTTTGAAACAAAAATTTAATTTTTATGGAAATATTCAATTAAACTATAGCTTTAAAGAAACTCGAATTTATATTTACTTCTTTTGGTTGTGGTGTGGGTGAAGTCAGAACTGAGGTGATTGTTGGAGATATAGGAGTAGCTGGTGTCGGACTTTTTAACAAAGATGTGAGTAAAGGTGAAGTTGAAGGAGTTTGTGACCCATGAGTTGAAGTACAAATTGTAATGCTAGGTACTGAAACTTTTGTGGAGATTGTACTTGAAATTCCATCTGTATGAGAGATTGTTGACTGAGGACTAGATACATCATCCACCTGTACAAAATACTAAATATTTTCTTAATCAAATCCTTATTTCTAAATTGTTCAAATAACAAAAGTAAATTTTTATTTTATGAAAAAATGCTATTATTCTTACATCTGCATTTAAAGGTTCACTAAGAGGTGAATCTATTATACTTTCTTGTTCACTTTGTTCTGATTGAGAACTGTTCCTACGTACTTCTTCTACACGAGGCTGTCTTGGAAACAATTTCTTTGATTTTCCAACTGGTTTTGGTGTTGCTTTCATTGCATTGATTTTTGCTTCTCTTTCTTGTAACCATTTCTGATATGATGCTTCTGCAGCTGCTTTTAATTTAATTTCTCTACAACAAAGCATTTTGTTAATAAAAGCTCTAATATATTAAATTAAAATTTTCAATCTCACTTTATTATATCTGTTAAAATCCAGTCATACTAGAGAACAAACTCAGTAATAAAATTTAAAATATTTATATGAGCAAATGAACTGCTGGATTATCTATCTGGCTATATTACATACAAATTTACTAGAGGTTGGCACTTAAGTCTCCATCTCATGATAAATTTAGTGATTAGAAATAAATTAAATTTTAATTTATAATATTCTGAAAAAAAAATCAGCCTGGAGCAGGACTTGAAGCAACAACTGAAGTGAAGATTAGACTGAGGCCTGGGTAGTTAACTGGCAAAGCATCTGAACGATAAATAAGAGTTGTAAGTTCTAGTCCCATTCCAGATCAATTATTTTATTCCAGAATATTATAAATTAAAAATTAATTTAATTTATTTCTAATTATTAAATTTATCACAAAATAGAGATTTAACCACTAAACTCTAGCCAAATTAACTTAGTCATTAGTCTTAATAAAGCCCAATAGATAAATGTGGCAGTTCATTTGGCAATACAAATATATTGGGTAGTTGTTTATTATAAACATATTTAATGCATTATATTAAACTGTCATTAATGCCTGAATCATAAAATTTACATAATTCAAAAAATTACAAATTTATTTATTTACTTATTTATTATCTTATTGAATATAACATTTTTATAAGTTTTGGAAAACTGAAAATAGTAATAGATTAGTTAGTAGTTTATTGTAAAATAATTCTTTAAATGCAGTATTTTAAATTCAATGATAATTAAATACATTCAATTCCCTACAACAGGGCTTCTTAAACTATGGGTCGCAACCCCATTTGGGGTCGCTTAGCAAAATCTTGGATTCGCAAGATTTTAATGCAAAATTTTTAAAATAATTTGTGAAAATTTGAAAATGGCATGCTTTGTGTCACTTCCGGTTTTGTGAGTCGCACTTTGTGTCACTTCCGGTTTTGTGAGTGGCACTTTGTGTCACTTCTGGTGCAGTGAGACAATGATTCAGCAACACTGATTGTAGTGTAAACTAGTGTAGTGTTGTCGCTTTTCAGTGTGTATTCAGTTGTCTCTGTTCCATTTTAACACAAGAGTGAACTGTGGTAGTACACCATTATTGCTTTTGCAAATTTGTATATCTTTATTTTATATTTTTTTTGGGTCACAAAAAAAATCACAATTATAAATGGGGTCGTGAATAAAAAAAGTTTAAGAAGCCCTGCCCTACAACATTCATATACAAAAATTATTATGGTTTAGTCCTGATAATTTTTTTTCAAATCTGAAAATTAGCTGAGCAGAATATAAAGAAACATTCTTTTTCATTAAAAAGATTATAGCCCAATATGTCCACAGATATTTTGATGATATTATTCAAATTTCATTAATAAAACATAATCTGAAGAAGCTTTAAATGATAAAAACAAATAGTTAGTAACTTTATGATTTTATTTGTGAGACTTTGATAATATAGATCTATTATAATGAAATAAATCTGTGGACATATTGAGCTAAGATGTATCATGAATGATACTTAAGCTGAAGCAACAAAGTATCATATCATGATACTTTGTTACTTCAGCTTAAGTTTGATTTATTTGCTTGAGAACTAATTATAAGGGTCGTTCAAATAGTTCTTGGAATAAAATAAGAAATCAGTTTATACATTTCTGAAATTATTTTTAGTTTTAATATGGTCTCTTTAAATATCAATGCATTTCATCCAATGACATTCCAAAGCTATTACATCATCCCTGATGTGTGATTCCAGACTCTCTGTAATATAAGCTCTTAATGCTTTTACTAATGTAATCCCTTGTTGTATAATGAAAATTTCTTTCCAGCAATGAATTTTCAGGTTTGAAAATTGAAAGAAATTGGACAAAACTAATGAGATGAATAAGACACAAATGGCAGCAAACTGTACTTCAATTTGTTGATTTTTCTGATCACAAAAATGCTACTGTGACAAATGTATTGTCTTGATGAAAGATGACTTTTTATTTGCTAATCTTGATTTCTTTTCTTGGATATTTTTGTCTAATTGGTCCAAAAGATTCACATAGAACCCTCATGTTATTATTTTACCTTCTAAAAAGTAATTCATTAGTATAATTCCTTTAGCATCCCAGAAAATCATCATCATGACATTTTCTAAAGATGAAACTGCCTTTGCCTTCTTTAGTGCTAAGCATCAAAGTTCTGTCTATTGTTTGACTGCTCCTTTGTTTCTAGTGTGTAGTGAAAGTGGACCCAGCCTCATCTGTAGTAACAAATCTACACACAAAATTAGTTGTATTTTTCTTGAAATAGTTCACATACTGTTGAGAAACTTGAGCATGGATGTATTGTACAATTGTTAACAAACACAAACATCCATCTTATAGTTAGTTTTCTCATACATAATTCTTTAGTCAAAATATTGAAATGTCGATCTTCTACTAAGAAGAACCCAGCACTGATTTTGACATTTTGTGGATATGTAGTATTTACTTGTACTTAAACTTTACCAAAACCATAGGACCCATTATTCAGGCATTCTCAAGAAATAATCGACACACACCGGAAGAATACAATAATAAACTTTCTACAAACCTATAACCAGCGTGAAATATGTTCAATTGCTTAGGCTAACGTTTTCGGATCCCACTGGATCCTTCATCAGGCTATGTTCCATTTGTAACGATCCATTAGAATGCCAGCTGTCTTTGGAACGAAATTTCAAATATCGTATTTCGAGTTCCATTTGGAATCACGTACCTTCCAAATGGAACTGCTACGTAACGATCTTCCACAACATTTGATTATAGGTTTGTAGAAAGTTTATTATTCTCAAGAAAATTATGATAAAAGTTTTCTATAACTATTTAATACCAATACTGATTTATGAAGTAGCAGCATGTGGTGATTAGTTAAGGCATCACATGCAGAGACTTTGTTTTTGGATTCTATCCCCTTATGTAAAGTTTTTTTTTACATTTATAATTTAATCTTATCATTTAAAAATTTTTTTATGTACAATTTTAATACCATTTTTAATTATTGAATGTAAAATTTATTATTCATTATAAAATATCAGAAAATTAAATTGTAGAAAGGAATTTTTTTTAAGTTTTTGCCAAAAAAAAAACAAAATATATATGCATACATATTTTGTTTTTATATACAATATACAACAAATATTATGACTGTTTCACAATAATATGACAGCATTTTGGGTAGTATGTTATCAGAAAAACAATTAACCCAATTTTACATTGTTTCTTACGGAAAAATTTTTTTCAGTTTAAAAACAAATCAGTTTTCAAACAACTTTTAAGAATGAATTAAGTTCATAAACCCAGGTTTGACTGTATGTAGCTCTGTTGCGGGGAAAATTTTTGAATTGTTTGAATTGAAGTCATGTGACTCCGATCTAGATCAGAAGTTCAAGTGGAGTTAACCGGGGTCTCCTGTCCCTAAGCTTTTGATATCTGGTCTCAAATTTCATCTATCTAACACCATTCTTAAGATTAAGGAAGGGTAGGCAGTCAGACAGATGAATGACAGTGAAAATTTATAAATCTTCAATGTTTTTCAAATTGCATCCCAATTATTGTAATTATTAATTAATGTTATAAGATAGCAGTTTAACTCCCTACCTTAAGAAAAATTATTTCATATTAATTATTAATAGTTAGCCAAACTATAGAAATTAATATAATTATTACAGAATATTTGGGATTAATTGTTAATGTATTTCTTAAATGATTTGTTAACAGAAATGAAACAAAAAAATATTTTAATGCTTGAGATGGCAACTTCTAAATTGCATACCAGTAATTATCTTGCTTTCAATAGTTGCCCCAAAGATGCAAGGTATGCTGTAAGGCAGGTTATATAACGGTCTTATTTTTATTCTTGCAATTTTCTGAGAGGTATATACTGCTGCAAGTCATCCACCCAAAATTATAGTAAGTTCAACCTTTTTTCAATTGAAACTTTATCTTTAAAAATTTACAATATCAAAATGATACTTTAGAACAGTGGTTCCCAACCTTTTTTCATTAGCGTACCCCGTGACATGTCATATGTCTAGATTGTACCCCGTGACATGTCATATCTCTAGATTGTACCCCTCATTTAAGAAATTTAGTGAGTACCCGTATTGTTAATTTTACATATTGTAACTTTAAATTGAAGAAAAAAAAACTAAATGAAAAAATGTATAATAAAGTTGTGATTGTTGCAAGGAACATTTTTTACCTAATAATTTTTTAATACTATTAGTTTGTGATACATAATATATTATTTTTTCTGCCATAATAACTAACTTTTTTCTGTACCCCTAAACAACCTATCGCGTACCCCTAGGGGAACGCGTACCACAGGTTGGGAATCACTGCTTTAGAACATTATATTTTGAAAACTTACTCTTGAATTTTATTCCATACATCTTCTAATCTATCATCAACACAACCACTTTTAACTGCTTCAACTTCTTGTTTTAATTTTCTGTAATAGTAGCAAAAGATATAATGTTTTAAGATTAATATCATCCTTAATGAAAACATTTTTAATATAATTAAAAATTTTTTCATTTTAATTCTTTCTAAAGATAGATACTAAAAAGCCTTTTAATTATACCCATTATAAATTTAGCAAAGCTCACAATAGGGTCTCCAGGTGATCATGGACAGAGCCAACACTTTTGTGTTGGTTCTGTCCAGAGAAAAATTCCTGGATACTCTGCTCAGATTCAATCCTGGATCCCCAGATTAGCAAGATATCTTTACTGTCTCAATCATTTGGCTTTCTTCTTAAATTTGCTGATATTACAATAATTTAATATTTACCTATGTCTTTGTTGCTCTTCACTGATTATTCGCTTTAATTCTTCAATTCTTTCTATAGTAAGTTTTCTCACAATTAAATTACCAGGTGTTTCGACGTCTGCACGATCTCCTCTTTTACGTCTAATTTTAAAAGAAATACACATATTAATCATTAATAATAGAATTTTTATAAAAACTAAATCTTTAAATAATGTGCACACTCATACAATACATACAAATACAGAATAAGCCATAAGTGTAATATTATTATTGACATGAGGAATACAAGTCATAAAAATTATAATTATATGAACAAATATTTAAAGGTATAGCACTATAATGAAATCTTTGTAATATTTTAATATTTATTTTCATTCATTCTACTTTAATGCTCAAAAGTTTAAATTATATTCAAATTCTGATAATTAATTTAAATAATGTGCTGTTTGAGTACTGAACCCATAATGATGAATCTGATGATAGTTCTTACAAAGTATTGAAAGATAAAAACAAATATTATTATATTGTTAAGATTGTTCAGGTGAACATTAAATATTTATTACCATTGCAATTATACTTTATGATAATTTAAGAATATTGTCATTTCACAACATTAATAGCATTTAATGACAAATGAATATATTGAATATATTCAAATATAATTTATATATTTGAAAAACATTTAAAATTTTGCATTGTCTAAAGCTATAATCAAAAATTTAATGAACAGAGATAAGATTAGAAATGAAAAACAAATAATCTGAAAATATCCACAATAAAATGATATTTTTATTCTATTGGTTACACTTATATATATATATATATATATCTGTGTCTGTGTAGGAAAAGTAATAGAAAGGATGATAATATTCTAGTGTCTGTGATTGTCTTCAGTCTAGGGATAGGACGATACTGTTCTAACGTTGACAACTGTCTTCAGTGTCTTCAGTCTTGTTTTGTGTGCTTTTCAACCACAGTCCTCATCTTTTTTTTGCACCTCATTTTTACTGTCATCTGGGTTTTTTGTTGTGCTCTGCCAGTCTCTCTCATCCCATCTGCAACCTCATTTATTTTCTTAATGGTTTGGAATTTGACTCATCTAACCCACATATATATATTTTTTAACTAATTGTTGAAGTTCCTATGATTCAGCTCCAAACTTGTTAGAATAGTCACTGCTATGTTTTGCCATAAGCCCATTTTTCTTTCCATATGAATCAAATAACAGCAGCATATTCTAACTTGTTTTTGTGCACAAATAAAGTATACCAACATAAAACACTACCATCAACTGTCAATAGAATATGGAAACAAATGTTTCGTTTTATTAAAATGTTCTGTTTTAATTTATTATTAGGATGATATTAACTGCATTATTTTTAGCTTAAATTGTGTGTATTTGCTGTTTTAAGTTTATCAAAATAGGTATTGTTTAAGATCTAAGAATGGATTAATTTACTTTCCATTATTTCTAATGGGAAAACTGATTTAGAGTTCAAATTGCTTCCTGGAATGAATTAAATTCAAAGTAAAAGGCACCCCTAAATTATATTTAATACCAATATTTTATTTATAATACAGTTATTATATACAATTATGTATAGTTCCAATATTTGTAAGCTCAAATTTAATTTATTCTACATAATCAAATTCTGTTGTTTTTTAAATTCACAGAATTTAAGAAAATTTATCAAATCCATTGTTTTTATTTTTTAAATGTTCTGATAATGCATAAAAGTAACAAGCAAAAGTGTTCATTAAATATTTTATTTTAAGCTGAGTATTCTCAGTAATGCGCATTATCTAATTAGTTAATTTTTGAAATATACATACTCCTGGAAATTTTTAGCCCTGATATATTTATCATTAATTAAATTAATCAGTTCAATTTTAGTTCAAAGATTTTATTATAATTATTAATTGCTATATGATTAACTATTTAGACTATTATAATATTACAATGATATTTCAATTAGTTTCATCATAAAAATAACTTTGTCTCTATTACAATATCTCATATAAACTTTAAAAAGTACTTACTTAGGAGTTTCCACTTTTTCTAAAAGATCTGAATATTGAATGGCACAATTCTGTATACAAAATAAAAAATAACAACGTTATAAACTAGAAATGCTAACAAAATATTAATTAACATTTTAATTTTCAACCTTCTGAGAAAACCAGTCTGGTGGTCTGTTTGCTTCTCCAAATGGTCGAATAGCTCGACTAACTGAAACCCTAAGTAAAATGTAAAATATGACTTTAAAATCATGACAAAATTTCATTATAATAAAATTATAAAATAAAATATTTAATAAATAAATAGTTATGGTTTCAATTAGGTAATTACAAACATTTTAAAGTACAAAGTAAAAAAAAAGATTAAAACACAGAAATTTAATACATATTAGATTTATTAAAAACAAATAATTATCTTTCTTATTGAGTATAACTTGTCTACTTGAACTTTTTAACTAGGACTTGTTATACAGGGTGTCCCATAAATTTGTAAATAGTTTAAAAATTCATAAAAGTTGAAAGAATTGGTATATTTGAGTGCAGTTTGCGTAAAAGTTATTCTCACAAAGGGGGATTTTTTTGGGTAGAGAAAAAGGAAATAGTTCAAATTTTTGTTGATAGAGGGCACTGAATGCAAGAAAATCACTGGAATTCCACAGAAAAATTACGTTTATTTGCATGCAGACAAATGTTTACACTTACATGCATATCACAGCACTAGAGTTCTATGTGCCCGCCATCATCACAAATGACAGTTTGCGAGTGACAACACTGTTAACTGCAGCATGTAGCAGATCTGAATGGATGCAGAAAATTTCATGGCAAATGGTGTCCTTTAGCTGCACTAAAGAATATGGGCTATTGCGGTACACTTGGGACTTAACATATCCCATAGCCAAAAATCAAGGGGTGTTATATCTGGTGAGCAAGGGGCCATTCATTTGTACACTGACGGCTGATTAATTGTTCTTCAGTAAAGGTTCTTCTCAAGAACGTCCACATCGATTATGTTGTGAGGAGGTGCCCTGTCTTGCATGAATGCCACTGTGTCAACGACATTATGTTCCAATAAGCATAATATCACTTTTGCCCATAGCATTTGCAAGTAACACGTTCCAATAATTGAGCACATTTTCCAGTCTGATTTTTTACAGGGATCTTCAAAGAAAAAAGGGCACACAATAATGGATGTAGTGAAACCACTTCAAACAGTAACACATGGTGAATGTAGGGGCTCCTCAATGTAAGCATGTGGGTTCTCCTTTGACCATATTCTATTGACTATTATGGGGTATTGACTATTCCATGCAATAAAAAATGAACCTCATCTGTCCCAAAATATTGAGCAGCCATTGTGGATCTTCGTCGATATTCAACAAAACCCAATTTGTGAAGTCCACTCACTTAGCTGTGTCATTTGGTAAGAGCTGGTGCGGTGGCTACAACTTGTATAGGTAAAACAGTAACACACCGTGAAGGATGTGGAATACTGATGTCTTCGGTATTCCAGTTATTTGTGCCAGTTCTCATGCGCTACTTATGGCACTCATTGACTGTTCCCTCAAAGTGTCCATTTGTGAAGCCACAACGGAGGTACAGATCTCTGATAAACGTGATGCACCACTGCATGGTCAATTACACAAACTTCCCGTTTCTTCAAAACATCGTACTAGGGAAACCAATCCAGCAGGAGTGATTGGACCTGAACCAATCTTCATTCTCTTCTGTGTCCTAAACCTTCGTAAAGTTTCAGCTGGCAATTTGTGGCTGAGATAAAACAACTTCACCAATAGTGCTTTATCCACTAATGTCAACATCATAATGAAAACCATATGTCAGTGCCAGTAACAGGAAAATTCAGAAATGTGCTGTTAATCATACACCCTGCATTTTATAAGACACAAATCTGCACAATTCAAGTGATTTTCTGCATTCAGCACCCTCTACTGGCAAAAATTTTAACTATTTCCTTTTTCTCTACCCAAAAAAATCCCACTTTGTGAGAATAACTTTTATGTAAACTGCATTTAAACTATTTACAAATTTATGGGACACTCTGTATTAAAGGGCAGTTACAATAAAGGCTTTTTAATATGATTTTTGCTTGGCTGATTGGGTGTGTTCCCTTTCTTTAATATAACAAGTTCTAGTTAGAAAGAAACTTCATAACAAGTCCTAGTTAATTAATTAATTTTAAAAAGAAACTCCAAGTAGATAAGTTATACTCATCACATAAAAGACTAGAAGTACATATATTAATTTGTCTTTCCTTGGAATCTATAATGTAGTAGTGAAATTTTGAATTCAAATAGAACATCCAGCAATGAGTGACATAACTTATCCAGCAAAAAATATTTATGTTTAAGAAACATGACACATTAGCACAAAGTTAAAATTGTATGTGGTGCCATCTGTTATGGGATTTTATTTTAAAAATAATTTTTACATTATTAATTGTTATAAAAAGGCAAAAGACTTAATGTTGAAGTTAAAAAAATTGTAAATGCCAATAATGAAAAAAAATTTTCATTAAGTCAGATCTCACTCGAAATATCCCCTCAATCTTCCTCTTGACCTTTAACCATCAAAATTTAATAGCATGAATGCCTCTTATATACAAGTTACTATGGCAAATTTTGTTTTAATCTTTATCCCATTCTCAGACATTAAACAAAATAGACACCAACAGACCCACACATGAAATTTTTTTGGGTACTGGGGTATCAAGATTTGCAAAAAACTTCAAGAGTCAAATCTGCTGAATGGATAGGGTTGTAGATGCTAAAGCTACACAATATGGGTTTGATCCTTTGTAACTTTAGCCACAATTCCAATATTTCCTGTGTTATATACCTAACAGCTGGAAAAGTGAAAATATATTTCACAATAGTCGAATTAATAAAAATAATGAGAAAGCTCAATAGTGGGCCTATAGAAAATTATCAACAATTGCTATTATGTAAAAACTTTATAATTTCTGGATTTAGTACTCTCTGAAGTCAATTTCATTTAAATGATTTTTCATATAATTGACACTATTATAATACAAATCTTATCTTCAAGTTCAATATAATTATTTACTGTATAATAAAGAATTATACAGGGTGCATAGGAAAGTTCCTTTAACTGGAAAATTCTTGCAAACGAAGAGAACTACAGCTATGCAAATGAGGTAATGATATAGTAAAGCGACTACACCCGACCTAATGCAAATGACAGCAGTGCCCCTAGTGGCAAAAATTGGAAGATAGACAGTACAAATCAAAAACGAAAACAGATAGAGCAAACTTTCCAATTAGAAAGTTTTAGAGCTTCAATTAATTAGTATGAAATACCTATGGCTATTCCTTTCAAACATTTACACAAAATGGCATGCATTGCTTTCGGACATTTTTGAGTATACAGGCGACAATTTATCTTATCCGTGTGAACCACATGTCGTTTAGTACTAATTAATTGATGCTCTAAAACTTTCTAATTGGAAAGTTTGCTCTATCTGTTTTCGTTTTCAATTTGCACTGTCTATCTTTCAAATTTTGCCACTAAGGGTGCTGCTGTTGTTTGCATTAGGTCCGGCATAGTCACTTTACTATACTGTTACCTCACTTGCATAGCTGTAGCTCTCTCCATTCGCAAGAATTTTCTGGTTAAAGCAATATATTTTAATTGATACTTTATTTACTTTTATAATTTTGAAAATAAAAATTAAAACTTTAAAAAGTTGATAATAAAATTTAGAAATTAAATCCTCTTTATTTACTAAAAAATAAAAATTACAGTTTCAATTTAATTTGTAATTACTACTTCAAAAAATACTAAAAATTGTTACTGTCATAAAAATACAAAAGATAATTATTGAAAAATTTGTGGTAGGTTTTTTCTATTGCAATTTAAGGTTAAAATTATCAAAAAATATACTCAAACTAGTATTCTTAACTCCATAGAATGATTATTATAAACATAAGAGAACTTCAAATTTTAAAACAAAATTTCTCATACCAGTTCTGATCTCCACTTCGTAGAACAGATGATGCAAGGCATAATCTTTCTTTAATTGACCAGATATCAGTTGGGACTTGTTTCAATCTATATTCTTATATGAAAAATAATAATCACAATTATAAATTTTATATTCTTCTATATATATATTAAAATGAAATAAATTTAGTTTTATTAACTTCTCATTTAACAAAAGAGTCGAATAAAACATTTTGATAAACAAATATATACAAGATGGTATCAGAAAGTTCTCCTAGACTGAAGCTGGAATTACTGTACCATTCAATGGAAGTGCACATGCTTGTCAAGGTCATTGCTTCCAAATCTTCTGATTCATTAAGCTGAGCGACTTTATAGTATGAACACATGTTCAGTCATTATGTGTAGTTTCGTAAAGTAGTGCAAAGACTGCCCTACAATTGATACAATGTCCGACAGATTCAAGCAGTGTGATCCATCAAGTTTTGTGTGAAAGTTAGGAAATCTGTTACCGAGAATCTTAAAATACTTTGTCAGGTTTTTAGCAAACATTTGTTAGGTCAATTATAGGTTTTTGAGAGGAATGTACATTTCAAGGCTTGTTAAATGTCAGTTCAAGATGAAGAACATTCTGGGTGCCCAACCACCAGAAAAACAGACAAAAACGTCAAAAAATTCACCAACAGATCCATGAGGACCAACATTTGCCAAACAATCATCAGTTCTGTAGAATTGTTGGAATCAGTTATGGAGATTGCCAGGAGATTCTCACAATCTAAACACGCATCATATTGCTGCAAAGTTTGTGCTCCAGCTCCTGACAGGTGAACAAAAGTAACAGTGTCTTTACATGTGCATAAACTTCATGAAATGGACAATGACAACTCAATTTTCCTACTGAGGATCATTATGGCCAATGAAATGGGTTTACAGCTATGATCTTGAAACAATACAATAGTCATCAAAATGAAAGAGCCTGCAGTCACTACAATAAAAAAAGGCATGGCAGATCAGAAGTGCAACAAAATGCATACTCACGGGTGTTTCAATATTAGGGGCATAGTTCACTGAGAATTTGTTCCTACCAGCATGACAGTCAGTTCTGACTTTTACTGCAATATTTTAAGGTGCTTAAGAGAAAATGTGAGATGAAAAAGACTGAAACTGTGCCACAACCACAATTGGCTGTTGCATCATGACATGCACCCTCTCACACTTCTCTGAAGATGACAGTTTTTGGCAGAAAACAGGTTGGTGGTTTTTCTATGCCCTCCCTACTCATCTGATTTAGCTCCCTGTGACTTTGCCTTGTTCCTGAAAATGAAATTAAAGTTGAAAAGGCACTGCTTCAAGACCATTGATGAAATCCAAGCAGAACTGTAGGATTATTAGATAGGTTGCAGGAAGAAGACTTCCGTGGTGTCTTTGAGTCATTGAAGAAGCATTGGAATTTGATGTATACACTCCCGAGGGAACTACTTTGAAGGAAATTGTAATCAAATTCTAACAATAATATCCTGTAAATTCTTATAGGTCTAGTCCAGGAACTTTCTGATACCACTTTGTAGATGTACAGTAAAAATCCATATAAAAAAGGTCTTCTATAAAATGGGAACCAGCTTAAACAGGAAATATATCTCAAAAGTATTTGCTATATAAAGTATTGTTTGTTATATGGCAGAAGCCTGTTTAATGCAAAAACAAAAACTTTTTGGGTACCAATTGCATAACATAACCTAAGTGGAACTTTTCAGCATAACTGCAATTAAATTCTAAATCATACTTCATATGCTGTAGCTTCAGAACTTAGATCACGGGAAATTCCTTAGTTATAAAAATTAGTCTATCATTTTTTTTTCTTTTTTATGATTGCATTTTTGTTATCTGGAAAATAGCTGTGAGAATGCATTACTGCTGTTTCTTCTCAATCTTCCAAAAGAATAAAAATTTACACCTAAAAATCCTTTTATAGAAAATTATAAAATATATAAGACTGTAGAATACAATAGTAGACTTTCCATTATATACCAGATTGTCACAGAATGACCAGAATGCGGCATAAAAACAGAAAAGACCAGCATGTCAGAAACCCCAGGTTACTGGCATGCCAGTTAAACTGCAACTAAAATAAAATTAATCAGATCTACCAAAACTAGTTGTTAAATGAACATCAAAGAAAACATTCTTCCAAGTACAATAAAATAATAACATTGTAATTTGACTGACTTGAAATCAGGAAGAGAGTTTTCCTTGACAAGGCAATGAAACAATTAATGACTTATTGACATTAGTAGTAGTAGTTATCCTGACCTTAAAAATAACAGCTTCCTCTCAAATTTCACACAAAAGCCAATGTTACTTGGTGTAAGCTGAGATAATTTACAAGAAGTTTCTTAAAATTAAATGTTTATTTTTACATTTTTGAATCAAATAATAATAAAGTACACATAAAAAAAAGCACTTTCTGAATTCCAAGAGTATTTTAGGGCATTAATAAAAAAACAAAATGAAGAAATTAAACATATAATTGTAGTTTTTGATGTAATGCTGACAGTTTCAGTTTTAGAATAAAAAGTCATTCATTTTTACTTGACATAACTGGTTTTTTTTTTTTAATGCACCCTCTAGAGAGAGATGTATAACCTCACTTAAACGAGCATGCCAGCTTTTACCATACAGAAAAAGGTGATTTCATGGTCTTCCCCAGATAAATTGGCATGCCAGTCATTCTGCAATAAAAGAGTATAAGGAAATAGCCAAGATCAACAACACCAACCCTGCATATAAAAGAAGTCTGACAGTTTTTTCATTATGTACTTAAAAATGCAAAGGACCTGCCTATAATGAAGTATCTACCTAGGGTAAATTCCAACTTCTTCATTGATAATGGAGTGAACTAACTATGGGAGTATATTGGAACCTCAACCCAATTGTTAAACAATCATCTTAAGGAGCATGAAAGCAACAAAGAAAGAAATGTGTAATACCACCCTCATTGCATTTGCATCTGACAATGGGAAACATGTATCTTTGAACCAGGCACAGCTTATACATATCACCAATAGAACTCTTCTCAAACATTTAGAGACTGGAGATATGTAAGGCAGTTAGAAAGGCCATTGCCATAAACTGTAAGGATGCAGATGCCATCTCCTTGGCATAAATTACTATTTGAAATCTTCTCAAGAAAGTTTAATACTTACAAGGAAACTGTCGGAGTGTCTTCTAATAAATTGTAATAAAATTTAGTTAATAACTACGTTAAAAGTATACAAACTCTATTTTAAATTTGTAGCATTCACTAAAAGTGTTGATCAGAGTTATTAGCAATCAAATGTTGCACTACTTTATAGTAGTTTAGGACAATTACGCAAATTTTTAGAAGTGAAAGGGTCGCGGAGGAAGACGGCGATATTACATTTAGAATAAATTTTGGGATTTTCAAAAATGGTTGAAGAAATAATAAAATTTTGTATACTTTTAACATAATTATTAACTAAATTTTATTAATTCTTCAACCATTTTTGAAAATTCCAGAATTTATTCTAAATGTAATATCCCCGTCTTCCTCCGCGACCCTTTCACTTCTAAAAATTTGCGTAATTGTGCTAAACTACTATAAAGTAGTGCAACATTTGATTGCTAATAACTCTGATCAACACTTTTAGTGAATGCTACAAATTTAAAATAGAGTTTATATACTTTTAACGTAGTTATTAACTAAATTTTATTAAAATTTATTAGAAGACACTCCGACAATTTCCTTGTTAGTGTATATATTATTAACTTTCTGTTATATTCTATTTATATTTTATAGCATTTTAATAAAAATACAACGTCATTGTTTTTATTTTCTAACTGTTGTCTTTTCTTTAAGGTTACTAAATGTCATTTCTTTAATAAATAGAATAAGAAAGTCACAATGGCATAGCTATAGCCTTTAAACTTAAGCTTTAACAGGTTATTTAATAAATAATTAATGTTGCTTATTTCTATTGTGTAGTGTTAATTTTTATTTTCACATGAATTCTGAGGTTCCATTGCCACTTATGAAGTGGAATAAAAGTTGGTAACATTGGAGTAATGATGTTTTTTCACTGTTGTTTGCAATTTTTATAAATTTTTATGATTAGTGCTTCAAGGCTGTTTAGGTTTATTTGTACACAGCAATGCGACATGTGGACAATCTCCAAGGGAAATGTCTTCCGAGAGGACTTTACGGGGAACTGACCACTACTTAGGTGTTATGAATGTGAAGAAAACTTGGAAAACTCCACATGGCCAGCTTGTCAGCAAGGCACAAACTCACGACCAATTACAAGCATTTGGCGATTTTATCCACTCAGCCACCAGTGGGCCCATTATTGCTGGTAAAACACATCCAAAATGTAATAGCAAATCTAGCAATGAAGTAAATGTAAGAAAGGTCACTCTATTACCATAGAAACTAAAATGAAAATTATAAAACCAAGTGTATTAGATGAAAAGAATTTACATTTGAGCATAATGTACAGTGAGCAAATAGTTCAGACTGCAAACAAATCGGACAACAAACACACATCAGGATAACAAACACCTCACAGAACAAATGCAAGAAGAAGCGACATAAAATAGCGAATGCCGATCAGTCTTCCCTCGTCTCCGAGTGACAATTCGAAACCTTTCGTAGCGCCGGAGAAGTCGACATCGAAGATGATAAACTCAGTCTTCATTCTTTCATTTAACCTCATCTCTCGAGTTATCAAGCTCGGTGACAGAAATAAGAAAGCCATAACGGAACAACCACAATACCATTAGTTTGCTTACTTAGCTGCTCCTCACTTAGAAGTATCCTTTACGTTGCAAAAACGAACACAGTATCATAAAAAATAAAGGCGACAAAAATATTTATATTAATCCGATCGCCTTTTATTTATTATTTACAAAACGTATCATCAATAAATTGATCATTGTCCATAATTTATCAATTAATAAATATTTGCCTAAAAATCAACAAATAACATGCTTGCTTTCATGCATTTGAATTGAAAAAATTAACTCTTTATTGTCCTTTAAATTGATTTCATTTGGTGAATTTCATCTTTCAATTATATAATAGCATGAAACCTCATAATAATAAATCGATTCTATCTACCGATTTATATTACAAGCCTATTTTGAAGCATTGAGTACAGCGTATTCTTAACTGTTTCATTCGTTTGCTTATCAAAAGATTGATGTTGGTAAAATTGAAGCGATCGTAATTCAATAATAAGAATTCAGTTATTGACCTCGAATCAGTAAAGTCAGTAATCGATATATTTAATTGAAAATATCCCCAACAGTTTATTATAACGAACTTCTAAAAATGCTAAAATATAACTTACTGGGCGAAGCCGCCATCTTTCTTTCGTCAACCGAAACGCCATCTGTGTGTCTGAAAAGCGTTGCCAGATGTTTTTACTGTTTTGTAACCAAATATTTCCTAAAAAGTAGCCCAAACTTAGCCAACTCAAAAAGTTTCGTTTTAATAATCCGAGATTTGACGATAAACTAAAAATAATTAAAAAAAAAAAAACACCATTCGTGCTTTTCCAGTAATAACTTTCATCACAATAAATGTTTTTGGCCAATATATGCACACACTGTAATTTACTATGTCCAGAACACTCATTTTATATTGCAACGAATTAGACAACAAATGATCTTGCAAAGACGGACTATAAAAAATTAATTTTTCTTTATAATATTCTTAATAGTTATTAATTTGCTATTACAAAGGATTTATCAAACTAAAATTATTTAATTAATTTGAAAGTTGAATAATAGATTTCTTTATTAAGCCAATACGTACTGTACAGTACATTAATAACAATAATACAGTAGATAAAGAATGCCTACATCCAACAGTACAGAAAATACATTACAAAAACAAATTAAAATATTAAAAACAGATACTGTATTAAATTCATCATCAAAAATAGCGTAAAGAAAAGTTAAAATCACTTTTAAAACACCATTTAAAACAGAAAAACAAAATCCAAATTGATGAAGGGTATTGATATATCCAAAATGCACATATTAGTTTAATAAAAAAATTTCAGTCAACTTTCAAATTAAATAACTGTAGAAAAATTAATGTTATTTTTTATTATTTAAGGATTAACATGTCTAGATTATAGTAATAAGTATTAAAACTTTATCACAAAAAAAATATATATATATTTTAAAAAATTACTTCTACAGACACTTTCAATTTTTACTTAGAAGCAGATAAATTCATTTATTACAAAGAAGACAAACAAAAGTTTATTTGAAAAACACAAATATTTCTCTAGTTAATAAAAAATGACAAAACACCATTTTAAAGTGCATTTTTTTCAAATAATTAATTTTTTTATTTTTTATATACAGTAATAATCCACGTGAATCATTCCACTTTTACGTCTTGCTCTATACTAGCGTTGGCAATTATTTCCATATGAATCAATGTAAATCCAATTAATTTGTTCTAGACACTCCGAAATACGTACCAAAAACACATTTTATAGAAAATAAATATTGTGTTTAATACTAAAAACAATAAGAAATTAATATAAAATGAATATAAAAAAAAACTAATATAAAGAATAAATGAACATTTAACATAGCATTCGAAGAGCTGCTGGCTCTGGAAACTTTCTTTGGTTTCATGATGGAGCTAAAAAGAAAGGAAAGCAATGTAATTGTTTGGCTAGACGCCCGGGTAATGCTCAAACAACGAGAAACAACGTCACACTGAGCAGAAAAACACGTGGGTCACCTATGTTTTCGCAAAATTAGCAGGACAAGCTAACGAAATCCGGGACACGCCGACGAAAGCTGAGAAAAATTTTTCGTATAAAACGGTCTAAACGTTGATGCATGCTGGGAAAAATTTATTTGTATAAAAAGTAATGAGTTGCTTGTTGTTAGATAATCCACCGATGAGGCTGTAACGGCGAAATGCATTTGGAGAACCTCTTGGAAAATTCTTTGAGAAACTTGAAAATAATAAAAGAAATAACGTTGGCTGAAGTATAGTATCTTTGTTAATTATTTGTCTGCTGAAATAAATCACTCGAAATCGGTGTAAGAAAGAGTGTTTAATTTTCCTCGTTTATCTTATCTAAAGATAATCTT